ATATTTTTTGAGACAGAGTCTCACTCTGTCCCCTAGGCTGGAGTACATGTCATGATCTCCGCTCAATGCAACCTCTGCCTCACAGGTTCAAGTGATTCTCCTGCCTCAGCCTCCCGAGTAGCGTGTGACTACAGGCACCCGCCACCACACCCGGCTTAATTTCTTGTTTTTTAGTAGAAATGGGTTCACCGTGTTAGCCAGGATGGTCTCGATCTCCTGACCTCTCGTGATCCGCCCACCTTTAGTCTCCCAAAGTGCTGAGATTACAGGCATGAGGCCAACGTGTTGAGCCTTTTTTTTTTTTTTTTTTAAGACAGGGTCTTGAAGCATTCATACACCTTGACCTCCCGCTCAGCAACTCCTGCTTCATCCTGCCGTTGTAGCTGGAACATAGATGCACGCCACCACACCTGTGGCTAATTTTAATTTTTTTTTGTTTTAGAGACAGTGTCTAAAAAAAAAATTAGCCGGGCGTGATGGTAGACCACTGTAATCCCAGATACTTGGGAGGCTGAGGCAAGAGAAATCACTTCAACCTGGGAAGTGGAGGTTGCAGTGAGCTGAGATCATGATTGCGCCATTGCACTCCAGCTTGGGTGACAAGAACGAGACTCCATCTCCAAGAAAACAAAAACAAAAAACTATACTACTGCTTAAATTTCAGAAAGATGATGCTTTATGTTTGTAGAAATTACCTTAATGCTTTCCTTTCTTTCTTTATTAGGGAATTCCGAAATGACTTTTTAGAACTTCTCAGGAGACGCTTTGGTAAATATTTTAAGTATTGTGCAAATAATAACTTTATAAATCGCATAATCTTCTGAGATTCATCAGTGTCGTATTTTGTTCTCAGGCACTAAAAGGGTCCACAACAACATTGTCTACAATGAATACATCAGCCACCGAGAGCACATCCATATGAATGCAACTCAGTGGGAAACTCTGACCGATTTTACTAAGTGGCTGGGCAGAGAAGGTAAGAATGAGATTTCAAAGTTGCTTTTTCTTTCCCATTTCTAATCTTTGTAGGATGAGATGTTTGGGATAAGAAAAGAAAAAAAATTGGGTCAATGTTTTGATTATTCATCATGTTACTTGATTCCATTTTGGGAACATAATTTCTGCCTTAAGTTATAGAACATCATATAACCATTGGATATTAAATACTTAGATAGAATTGAATAAACACTATGCAAGATAATACAATTGTCTCTCGGTATCCATCGGGGATTGGGTCCAGGACCCCTTGCTGATAACCAGAATTCACAGATACTCAAGTCCCTTATATAAAATAAAATGATAATAGTACTTGCGTATAACCTATATACATCTTCCCTTGTACTTTAAATCATCTCTAGATTTCTTGCAGTATTTAATACAATGTAAATAGTTTTTATACTCTATTGTTAGGGAAAAATGAGAAGGAAAAAATGTCTGTGCATGTTCAGTACAGATGCAACCATTCGTTTTTCTTTTTTTGAATATTTCTCACCCACAGTTGGTTGAATCCATATATAGTATCTAAATTTCATTAATATAAATATGGAAAATCCCATTTGCTGCATGAATTTGTGTATTTGCATGTATTTTAGTATATTTGGTGTTCTGTTTTGTATTTGAGACTGAGTCTCACTCTGTTGCCCAAGCTGGAGTGCAGTGGCGCGATCTCAGCTCACTGCAATCTCCACCTCCCAGGTTCAAGCTATTCTCCTGCCTCAACTTCCTGAGTAGCTGGGATTACAGGTGTGTGCCACCATGCCCAGCTAATTTTTGTATTTTTAGTAGAGACGGGGTTTCACCATGTTGGCCAGGCTGGTCTTGAGTTCCTGACCTCAAGTGATCTACCTGTGTCAGCCTCCTAAAGTGCTGAGATTACATGTGTAAGCCACGGTGCTCGGCCTGATTTGAGTGTATTTGAATGAATAAATATGCAGCGATGAAACACATTCATATTTATGTTTTGCTTTGATTGTATGCTAATTTATAGTGGCGGCTGTTTTTTTAAGGCTTGTGCAAAGTGGATGAGACACCAAAAGGCTGGTATATTCAGTACATAGACAGGGACCCAGAAACTATTCGCCGGCAACTGGAACTGGAGAAAAAGAAAAAGCAGGACCTTGATGATGAAGAAAAAACTGCCAAATTTATTGAAGAACAAGTGAGAAGAGGCCTGGAAGGGAAGGAACAGGTGGGCAAGCAATATCATCCTGAGAAGCAATGTCCAAAGGTCTAAAGAAGCACAATGGCTTGGTTTTTTTTTTTTTTTTTGGTTTTTGAGACGGAGTCTTGCTCTGTCACCCAGGCTGGAGTGCAGTGGCACAATCTCAGCTCACTGCAACCTCTGCCTCCCGGGTTCAAGCAATTCCCCCGCCTCAGCCTCCTGAGTAGCTGGGACTATAGGCGCCACCACCACGCCCAGCTAATTTATATATTTTTAGCGGAGACAGGGTTTCACCATCTTGGTCAGGCTGGTCTCCAACTCCTGACCTCAGGTGATCTGCCCGCCTCAGCCTCCCAAAGTGACAGGATTACAGACATGAGCCACCACACCCGGCCAGCTTGTGTTTTTTCAGCATTGAATCAAGTTTCTGTGCGCACTGTTCCTTAACTAAAAGGAGAACCAACCTGGTGTCAAGAGCACATTTGACTTACTAACTTCATAATCTTGTATAATTACATAGTCTCTCCAAACCTCAATTTCCTTATATCTAAATAGAGACGCTACCTAATGGGAAGACATATACACAGATCATTTCAACTGATTATAATTAATTCAGTACTAGAGGTAAACGCAGCGTGTGGAAACATAGAGAAGCGATGTTTACTCTTGCCTGGGGACGATAGGGTATTTGAGGGTGGATACAACCTCAGTGCCCAGGAGTCTTGAAGAATCAGTGGGTGCAAGCCAGATGAATGGGGAGGGAAGGAGCTGAGGTGTTAGAATAACTAGGTTGAGGCATTTATTTCAACATATATTTATCAGCGCCTCCACTGTGCCAGGATTCTTATAGGTGCAGGGAATACTCAGTGAACAAAAGGTACAAAAAACTCTCTCCTGTGGCTTACTTTTGTTTTGTTTTTTTTGAGACGGAGTCTCACTCTGTCACCCAGGCTGGAGTGCGGTGGCGCAATTTCAGCTCACTGCAACCCCCGCCTTGTGGGTTCAAGTGATTCTTGTGTCTCAGCCTCCCAAGTAGCTGGGACGACAGGCATAAACCACCACGCTGGGCTAATTTTTTGCATTTTTAATAGAGACGGGGTTTCACCATGTTGGCCAGGTTGGTCTCAAACTCCTGACCTCAGGTGATCCCCCCTCCTCAGCCTCCCAAAAGGCTGAGATTACTGGCATGAGCCACCACGCCCAGCCTTTTGTGGCTTACATTCTAACACTTGTGTGTGAGCAGGCAAATATAGCCTGGTGTGTATGTAAAACTGAGTGGTTTTTGAACTGTTTATTGAGCTCTAACATACATTGATTAAAGTGTATGAGGTGCATTAATCTTATGTGTACAGTTCACTGAACTCTTACAAATATATGTGTGTAGAAAGAGTGACCGATAACGTGTGGAACCACCACCCAGATAAAGATATAGGACTTTTCTAGTATCCCAGAGGATTTCCTCATGCTCATTGCCGATTAATACCCCATCTCCCAGAAGTAACCATTGTTCCAATAGACCACTATTGATTATTCATTAGTTTAGTCTGTTCTTGAACAGACTTAAAAAAAAAAAAAGTTTTTGCTTTTCCTAAAGTTTATTGCCTTATATTTTTGTTATTTCCTGTTTAAGTTGTAATAGAAGTAAGAATATAGGTAAACCTCTGCCGTTTGGTACAGAAAAGCTACTTTTTGGTATTTAGAATAATTCTCAATTGGATAATATTTGCAAAGCATGTAAGTTCTAATTTTTTTTGAGAGACTGTGTCTCTCTGTCACCAGACTGGAATGCAGTGGCGTCATTACAGCTCACTGCACCCTTGACCTCTGGTGCTCAAGTGAACCTGTTGCTTCATATGAGTAACTGGGACTATAGACATGCACCACCATGCCTGGCTAATTTTTTTTTTTTTTTGTAGAGATGGGGGTTCTTGCTATGTTGTCCAGGCTGGCCTCCAACTCCTGGCCTCAAGCATTCGCTCCCGCCTGAGGCTTACCTCCCAAGGTGCTGGGATTACGGGCATGAGCCACCATGCCCAGCCAAAGCATATAATTTCTTTTGTTTTTTGTTTTTTTTTTTGAGACAGCATCTTGCTCTGTCACCCAGGGCTGGAGAGTGCAGCGGCACGATCCTCGGCTCACTGCAAGCCTCCGCCTCCCAGGTTCAAGTGATTCTCCCGCCTCAGACTCCCGAGTAGCGGGATTACAGCGCCCGCCACCACACCCGGCTAGCTATTTTAGTAGGACGGGTTTTCCCAAGTTGGGCCAGGCTCGTCTCACTCTTTCACCCAGTCTGGAGTGAAGTGGCGTGATCTCGGCTCACTGCAACACTCACTCCCTGGGTTCAGGCGATTCTCCTGACTCAGCCTCCTGAGTAGCTGGCATTACAAGCGCCCACCATCATACCCGGCTAAATTTTTGTATTTTTAGTAGAGACAGAGTTTCACCATGTTGGCCAGGCTCGTCTCGAATGTCTGACCTCAGGTGATCCACCTGCCTTGGCCTCCCAAAGTGTTAGGATTACAGGGTGAGCCACCGTACTGGGCCAAAAACATGTAATTTCTTTGTACTTTCTTTTCTTTTCTTTTTTTTTTTTTTTTTTGAGACAGAGTCTCATTCTGTTGCCCAGGCTGGAGTGCGAGTGGCACAATCTTGGCTCACTGCACCTCCCTCCCAGGTTCACGTGATTCTCTGCCTCAGCCTCCTGAGTAGCTGGGATTACAGGTGTCACACCACAGCCCAGCTAATTTTTTGTGTATTTTTAGTAGAGACAGGGTTTCACTATGTTGGCCAGACTGGTCTCAAACTCCTGACCTCGTGATCTGCCCACCTCAGCTTCCCAAAGTGCTGGGATTACAGGTGTGAGCTACCACATCCGGCCAAAAGCATGTAATTTCTTCATTAGGATCTTAATCACTTGCGTGTTAGAGCTGCCTGGCAACACAGGTAGCAAGTCATAATTTAGGCCTATTGAATGGTGATAGTAAATGCACTGTACACCAAAACCTTAAAACTTTCTTTTTTTTAGGAGGCCCCTACTTTTACGGAATTAAGCAGAGAAAATGATGAAGAGAAAGGTAGTTTTATTTTTTCTTTTCTTTCTTTTTTTAAACATAGATGCTTTTATATTGGTTTTGTCAAAAGTGCAACTTGTCAACCTATCTGGGAGTAAGACATCCAATCTGTCTGAGTTACATTGTTCTTATTGATTTAATGAAAAGATAATACTAATGAATTAATTAGATAGGCTAACTGAAGCTGCAAGTAACAAAATTGACTACAGTTAGCTTAAACAATAAGGAAATATCTTGCCATAATAAGAATCTCAGAGGTAAGGTTCTGCATGCTGTATGGACACAAGGTAGCTGCCAACACGCCAGCCATCACATGCAGACTCTGCATTGTCGTGAGGGTGGCAGAGAGCATCTCTGGATGCTCTTCTAGAATCCTGTTAGGAGCAAGGATACTTTTCCAAGAAAACACTCCTCCCTTCAATAGATTTCCTTTCAGATGTCATTGGCCAGAACTGTGTCACACGTCCACCCAAAAAGCAGTCACTGGGATTATGTTGATTGGTACAGACAATCAGAATTTACCCCAGAGATGAAAATGGTGTTATGTCCCCCGAGCCACAGGCAAGAGGTATGGAGACCTAAACAGAATTGGAGTACTGTTCCCCAGGGGAAATGGGGATAGAGCAGGGAAGTGCCTGTGTGGTCTGCCACGGTGACATGGCGTGCAAGGTTCCTCCTGTTCTATGGTTGTCAGTCTGGGACGTTTTACTGGAATATGTGGTCTCCGCATAGGAACATTTTAGCTCTCGTTTATTGAAAATGTCCCTGAGATCCTCTGTGAACACTTTGTAGTATCTTATCTGAGAAGTTTTATTATGATTTTCCTGAAATGTACATGTGGAATAACATTTTTTTCTTCTAGTCACGTTTAATTTGAGTAAAGGAGCATGCAGTTCATCCGGAGCAACGTCTTCCAAGTCAAGGTGAGCTGCATCATTCATGGATATCTTAACACTTTAGGATTTTTGTGAAATATTGGTTACTGCATTTTAAAGTATTGTGAATCTTTTTTTTCTAATTGTAGTTGTAGTTTTCACCTTTTTTTGGTTTTTGTTGGTTGCACTGTTTTCGTGTCAATTGTTCTTTTTTTTTTTTTTTTTAAGAGATAGGGTCTTGCTATGTTGCCCAGGCTGGCCTTGAACTCCTGGGCTCAGGGTGATCTTCCTGCCTTAGCCTCCCCGGTATCAATAGCTGGGATTACAGTCACACCCTACTGTGCCCAGCTAGCAACTGTTCTTTTCCTATTTGCCTGTGATCAGATGATTCTGTTTTGTGAGGAAAGCCTCATTTTGATTATATGTTTCACATGAATAAACTTGCTTCTCCATGAATCCTTCCCCATTTAACGGTTCCTTGTTTGCTATATAAAACTGTTTATTTTCCTGCCTTAGCCCACTTGTCACAGTTTAAATGTTAGCTGGGTATGCATTTTTCTTTCGCTTGCTGCGCTGTGAGTTTTCTGAGAATAGAGATTATCAACCTCTCTCCTTAGCCTCCAGTACAGTGTAAATATACCAGGAAACACTCAGTAATCATTACCTGCCCTTCTAGATGGTCTAGCACAGGGTAGGGGTCAGCAAACTTTTTCTGTAAAGAGACGCACAGTAAATATTTTAGACTTTTTTGGCCAGATGTCTTTGTCACAATAACTGAACTCTGCTGTCGTAGTGAGAAAGCAGCAGTGGACAGCGCATGAAGGAACTGAGCATGGCTGGGTTCCAGTAAATTTATTTACAAAAGCTGGTGGCAGGTGGCAGCTGGCATTTGCCTTTAGGCTGTTGTTTGCCAAAACCTGGCATAGCATGTGGTCAGGTAGTTCTACCTACTTTCTACATTACTTCTCTTGCAATTTTTAATGTATTCTTTCACCAAATCTTTATTCACTATTTCTGACATGCAGTACATTCAGTTTTGTCATGGAGATTAAAAAAGATGAGTAAGACAAGATAGTCAAGTACCAGTATCTACTGGAATTTGCTTTTAAACTGGGTGATATTTTCTATTTTACTTAGTACTTTACATGTTTTTTTTTAAGATCTAAGTTTTTCAGGTTTGTTTATAGGTCATTGTTTATTTACACTATTGAATAAGTGGCTAGGAGTATGGAAGGAGATAGATAGGCTGAATCAGCAGTATAGATCAGCTTTAAAATGATTTGCCAGATGTCTTAACTTTGATCAAAATAATATTTCAAAATTAACACCTACATTAGATATAATCAAGAAATTGGTTATTTGGGTTCTACATCTGGGTACATTCCAGAAGAATTGTCTAACATTGGCATGATATGACCTGGAAGATAGGCTCAAATATAACACACATGCCTTATTGTTTTAGAACGTTATGCATTTCTGTCTGTTCTTTTGAATTATGTGTTACTTCTAGATGTAGATAGATGTTAAAATGGGTTCCAATGTTCCCCAAATTGACCTCCCTTGTACTAGTTTTCTATGGTCGCTGTAACAGATTACCACAAACTGGGTGGCTTAAAACAACAGAAATATGTTCTCTCTCTGGAGGTCAGATTCCGAATCAGCATCACTGGATTGAAATCAAGGAGCCTGCCTGCCGGCTGTGCTCTGGGGAAGAATCTGTCCCTAGCCTTTTCCAGCTGTGTTGGCCACTGGCGTTACTTGGCTCATGGTTGCATCTCTCCAGTATTTAAGAGCAGCATCTTCAAATGTCTGTTTGCCCCATCCTCACATCGCCTTTTCCTCCAGGTGTCAAATCTCCCTCTACCTTGCTCTTACAAGAAAAGGAATGATTGCAGTTAGGGTCCACCCTGATAATCCAGGCCAAGCTCCTCATCTTAAGATCTTTAACTTAATCTCATTTGCAAAGACCCTTTTCTTAGATAAGGTAACATTGATAGGTTTCAGGGATAAGGACCTGATATTTTTGGGGGTCTATTCAGCCTGCTGTACCCCTATGCCGTGCCTTGATATTAGAAAAAAGGTTTGTTTTATTTGACCAATTTTGATCATTTATTTGATAAGTTAAGATGTTGTGACGTGAGTCCATGAATAAGGAACAATGTAAGTATGTAAATAGTGTCATAGATAATATAACTGAAAGACATCTGATTTTTTTTTCTCTGAGATTATCGTACATAATATAGTTTGGGATTCATTCTCCTGTGGATTTATATCTCTTATATATCTAAAACCTAGGATAAACTAAATGATGTAGATATCAAAGTGGACATTTTAGGCTATGTTGAGGCACAAAAATGATCCCCCTTATTGCTTGAAAAAGTTTACTTGATTTTCGTTTCTGTTTCTTCTTTGGGCTTCTTTATCTCCTTTGAGAAGGGCTGGAATTCACTCTAGTTACTGAAAGCAAAAATGAGGGCCATTCAAGGAGCCTTACTTTCCATTTTCTATCTGTTCATATTCATATCTTGCCTTGATTTTATGTTAACTCTGCCTTACCCCTGTCTCAGTCTCTCACCCTTCTAATGGAATCTTGATATTGCCAGCAAAAGGACCTTTCTAAACTTCAGCTCTTACCATGTCACTCATTTCTTAACGTCTCTTGGTTTCGGCATCTCTGAGATGACCTTGAATTTTTTTACATACTATTAAGTGACTTTTGTGATCCTGTGTGTCTCCTGCCGTTTTCACTCAGCTGTGCTCACTGATTTGTGCTTTCCTAAATGAGCCTGGAGTCTCACCCTTTCTTGCCTTTGTATCTGCTATTCCCTTCCTGGAATGCCCTTTACATCTGTTTCCCCCGCTTCACCCTGAGATCTTGCTGGGCTCTTCTTGTCGTCTTTCTTCCCCCATTATTGTCGCATTCTAAGCATTTAATGATGCTGAGTAAATTTTCTTTTTCTTTTTTTTCTTTGAGACAGAGTTTTGCTCTTTTTGCCCAGGCTGGAGCACAATGGTATGATCTCAGCTCACCATAGCCTCTGCCTTCCAAGTTCAAGAGATTCTCCTGCCTCAGCCTCCCGAGTAGCTGGGAGGACAGGCATGCGTCACCATGCTCGGCTAATTTTTGTATATTTTTAATAGAAACTGGGTTTCACCCTGTTGGTCAGGCTGGTCTCAAACTCCTGACCTCAAATGATCCACCCACCTCAGCCTCCCAAAGTGCTGGGATTACAGGCATGAACCACCACGCCAGCCCAGTTCAGTTTTAAGAAGAGTAAATAATAGCCTTAAATAAACTCAAGTGTCTAAGCTGAGATTAACACCAAAATACTGAAATAATTTATAGATGTATTAATATTTGGGGACTCACTGTTGAGAACCTCTGAGTAATCATGGAGATTGGTAGAGGAGCCAGAAGGCAGAAAAATAAGCAAATATATTTTTTTTAAGTGGAGAAAAATCTTCAGAAAATAATAGATTAACAAGCATTTCAAACAGATTACGATAGGAAATAGGTGGTTTGTGAACATGAGACGAGGAAGTGGTAATCACTCAGGCCAAAAATAACCACTTAATCCTAACTCCTCTTTTGCTAGGGTTATTAGTGCCTATTTTGTAGACATACTGTGGTTGATTATGATCTGAATTATCCCTGGATCCCTTGTTCAAAGTATACTTAAATCTAAAGAACATTTAAGTAGAAAGTTGAAGAGCTATCTTTACCTGGACTTGGCCTGTGCAAAACCCATGTCCATTATTTATAGTTGTCACACCCTGCGAAATGCATTCAGTAATAGAATCAGAGTTTAAATATATGTTTGGTGGGTTGAATTACAGGTCAAAACCCAGTAAGTAAAATTTCACAAAGGTAAATGGAAAGCCTGACAGTTAGGTAAAGAGGAAACAACTCCCATAAAAACAGAGTGACAGAGTCCTGACCTACAATTCTCCATTGAGAAAAGATGTAGGGGTTTTAGTTGACTTCAAACTTAAAGTAACCCAGCAGTTCATCAATCTAATGCTACCTTTAAATGTATCTTTTTTAAAGTCCAAATAAAGGAAAATAATAAATCTGTTGTATTCTCTACTAATCGTATTTTTTTTTTCTTGGTGAGCTCCATGGTAGCTTTGTGTAAATATTTATCCTTTGCTTCATCTTTTGTAAATATGACACATTAAATGATTAGATGGGTAAAAGTCATTTGATCAGCAAATATTAATGGAGCATCTATTTCATGTGAGTTACAAGATAGTTACTGCTACTTTGTAGGAAAAAATAGATGGTTCCTCCCTACTGCAAGAGAGGAGTCATACATACAAATGATGATCGCACAAGGTGCAGTGTGATGCATGCCACAAGGCACTGTGGCAGTTCAAAACACTGCAAGATCCAAGAACCCTCAGGAAGAACGGACCTTAAAGAATTTTAACAAATGGGGATAAAAGGAGAGATTATTTTAGGTATAAAACAAGGCATGTGCAAATTTTCAGAGGCTCAAAGCATAGGGCATGGCTCAGTCAATAGCAAATTGTTTTTAGTGACTGGTGTACATAGAAGGTCAGGGAAGGTGACTAGAATGGTATTCTGAGGCCAGTGGTGACAATTGTATATTGGCAGTAAAGAATTCAGAATTTACACTGTCAGCCAGGCCAGTGGCTCATGCTCATGCCTGTAATCCTAGCACTTTGGGAGGACAAGGCAGGTGGAACCCCGTCTCTACTAAAAATACAAAAATTAGCCCAGCATGGTGGTGCGAGCCTGTAATCCCAGCTACTTGGGAGGCTGAGGCATGAGGATTGCTTGAACCTGGGAGGTGGAGGTTGCAATGAGCCGAGATCATGCCACTGCACTTCAGCCTGTGCAACAGAGTGAGACTCCATCTCAAAAAAAAAAAAAAAAAAAAAAAGGATTTACATTGTCAACCCTGGGCAGTTGGGAGCAATTAAAAATTTTTAAGTAACATGTTGGAATTTTGCTTTACAAAACCAGAACTGAGAGTAACATGCTAGACTTAAATCGGTCATTTGAAAACATGTCATTTAATTATTGCATTTGAGTTAGGAGTTGGGTCATGTTATTATCTTCATTTATAGATGAAGATTTGAGGCTTAGGAAAGTGAATTACCCCAGGTCCTAATAGAGGTAGCCTCAAACCCTAATCTGCCTCAACACCAAAGCCTAAGCTCATTACCATCATTTTACTATGTGAAGTATAGTAGCACTGACTGAAGGAGTGAGGAGAAGGTATAGAGAGTTAAAGACAGCATGGGTTAAATGCTCACCCGGTGCTGATAGTTCTGTAAGAGATGTGGACAGGTACTCCGTGGTTTTCACTCATCTCCTGTAAATTAATCATGTCATACATTTATTCTATATTGTGAATTTTGCGCATCATAAAGCATTCATCTGTGTACAGTTCTTGGTAACAAGCATGATTCTGCTGTTCATCAGTACTCTGGGACCGAGTGCACTGAAGACAATAGGAAGTTCAGCATCAGTGAAACGAAAAGAATCTACCCAGAGCTCAGCTCAGTCCAAAGAAAAGAAGAAAAAGAAATCTGCACTGGATGAAATCATGGAGGTACAGTTTATGGACTGCGTATGGACACCTTGGAACCCAAGGAAAATTAATCATTTCACCATTTATTAGATTAATAGAAAATTAGGAAAATTATCATATACGGACTAGGGAATAGTGACCTCACTGCATACAGTTCCCTGAACTGGAGTTGGAGCCCCTCTAAATAGGTTTATTTATTTATTTATTTATTATTTTTTTGAGACGGAGTCTTGCTCTGTTGCCCAGGCTGGAGTGCAGTGGCATGGTCTTGGCTCACTGCAACCTCTGCCTCCCAGGTTCAAATGATTCTCCTGGCTCAGCCTCCCGAGTAGCTGGGATTGCAGTCGTCCACCACCACACCTGGCTAGTTTTTGTATTTTTAGTAGAGATGGGGTTTCACCATGTTGGCCAGGCTGATCTCGAACTCCTGACCTCAAGTCATCCACCCACCTCGACCTCCCAAATGCTAAGATTACAAGTGTGAGCCACCATGCCCTGCCTATAGTTTCCTTTTATGCCTCAGGTGCTGTCTTTGAAACTCCCTGTGTAGTTAGGGTCAGTAGAATTCAATTAGAAATTGGAGTCCTCCGTGGTTGACCTCCCTCCTTCAACCGCTACTCTCCTGTTGCCTTTGACTTCCACTCAGCACCTCCTAGCTAGCAAGAGAAACCTGTGACATGTTTTTTTTTTTTTTTTTTGGTGGTTGTTGTTGAGACAGAGTCTCTCTCTGTCGCCCAGGTCAGAGTGCAGTTGCACAATCTCGGTTCACTGCAGCCTCCACCTCCCAGGTTCAAGAGATTCTCCTGCCTCAGCCTCCGGAGTCACTGGGATGACAGGCACCTGCCACCATGCCTGGCTAATTTTTTACATTTTTTATAGAGGCAGGATTTCACTATGCTGGCCAGGCTGATCTTGAACTCCTGGCCTCAGGTGATCCGCTCGCCTCGGCCTCCCAAAGTGCTGGGATTACAAGGTGTGAGCCACTGCCCCCGGCTGGCTGTTCAGTCTTCTCTGTTCCTAGTCCTCACATCATGCAGGACGATCTAAAAAACTTCAAGTAAAATATAAGATGAATATACTATGAAACTGAGTCCCTATTATATGCTGCACTTTGTACAAGGCTCCGGGTCTGTAAGTAGAAAGAAAAACAGTCCTTGTTAGTCATGGAGCTTTCCTTCTAACGACAGAGCTGTTCAGCAGTGAGCCAGTGAATAATCACAAAATGCTGAGTGCCAAGGAGGTATGAGGGTAGGGCCTGGGGAGAGAGCCTGTGAACCGTGCCTAGACAGGAACGATCAAGCATCCGAAGGAAAGGCCTACGGGACTGGAGTGCAGCAAGCACATGGTGGCGTTTGAGGTCAGAGAGCCAGGAGGGCCAACACCACAGAGGTCTTGCACGCTGTGACAGGGAATTTTTAAATTTAATTTTATTCAAAGTAAAATGGAAAGCCTTCAACCTTCTTTGAATATAATGAATACTAATTTTAGAACATTGTTGAAACGTTGAAGGATTTAAAATGAGTTTTTTTTCTTTTTTGAGATGGAGTGTGACTCTGTGACCCAGGCTAGAGTGCAGCAATGTGACCTTGGCTCACTGCAGCCTCCGCCTCACAGGTTCAAGCAATTCTTGTGTCTGGGACTACAGGCGTGCACCACCATGCCTGGCTAATTTTTGTACTTTTAGTAGAGACGGGGTTTCACTGTGTTGGCCAGGCTAATCTCAAACTCCTGACCTCGTGATCCTCCCACCTCGGCCTCCCAAAGTGTTGGGATTACAGCCGTGAGCCACCGTGCCCAGCCTAAAATGAGGTTTCTAATCAACCAAGGGATTATTACATTGTTTGATCCCATTGAAAATTGGTACTTAGGGTTAACTGTAAGCAGTTGAGAAAGAAAAGGATTGGATATTTTCGCCAAAACAGCCAGACAGCACTCTTTTCTTTTGGTCACTCTCATTTATTTACCTCTTGGTGGTATTTTTCTTCCCTTTCATTCATGAACTTTACTGTCATTTTCGAACAAGGAGCCCCCTGTTTGCTACCAGGCTGTATGCTTAACCATGCTGTGCCACACTGATCCATGCGTTACGATTTTACTGCATGAAAACGTGGCCTCTTTTCCAGCTCCTGACAGTCACATGGGAGAAAGTGGGTGAGGGCAGGTATGGGCTGGTCTTGCAGCTGGAAAAGGGGTTGTGTCTGTTTGCTTCCTAGGTCAGTTGACTTGCTTTATTACATACTTTTAAAAATGCAAGTTTTTTAAAATCAAAAACTAATGACAAATAATGTTTATTTGTATTTATCAGAGCTTGCAAATTATGTCGTTGGTCTTCTGTGAAGTAGAAGACTTCACAGTTTTATGGTGTTATTTTGTTAAATAGAATAGTATTTTGAAGTCCAATGAGAATTTTAAGGAGATAATTTTCAGACATTATGTGTTCTACAGATTGAAGAGGAAAAGAAAAGAACTGCCCGAACAGACTACTGGCTACAGCCTGTAAGTATTCAGTTGGAGTTTCTTAAGTTCTAAATGTATGTTTAAGTGAATGATTTAACTAGCATTTAGTATAAGTAAACTTTTCAAACATGTATAATCTATATAGATAGAGTTAGTTATAACTTATAATGACTTTTCTTTCTATTAGATCTTTAATTATTGGTTGCACTTCTATTGGAGGGTTACTTCATGCTTATAGACTAATAATGTTCCTTAAGTTTGGTGCTAAACTTGTTTATGGACATCTTGAATTTGAGCCAGAAATTTTCAATTTTTGCTATAAGACAAAAGGTTGTGTTTTCAGAAATGAGTAGAACTATAAATGCTCAAGTGTTGGTTTTCAATTTACAACTTACTGAAACTAGAATTGTCCATTTATTAATAGGTACATTGTGGAGAAAAGCAGGTTTTAATTTTACAAACTCAAGGGAGTTTTATATTTTATTGCTTATTTATTTATTTTTGTTTTAAAAAATAATTTAAAAATAGTTTTTAAACATTTAACAATATTGTTAAATGATTATTTATTGATGTTCTATTTTAGACTTACTGAGATGTGACATTTTCATAAAACTTTCAGAGTGTCTTATTCTTTTTTTTATTTTTAAATAGAGACGAGGTCTTGCTCTATTGACCAGGCTGGTCTCAAACTCCTGGCTTCAAGCGATCCTCCCACCTCAGCTTCCAGAGTAGCTAGGACTACAAGCATGCACCACTAATGCCCTGCTGATTTTTGTGTTTTTTGTAGAGACGAGGTTTTACTCTGTTGCCCAGGCTGGTCAACATAGCAGCCTCAAGTGATCCTCCTGCCTCAGCTTCCCAGGCTGTCAGGATTTACTGGCCTGAGCCACTGTGCCTAATTTCTTTTTTTTTTTTTTTGAGACGGAGTTTTGCTCTTGTTACCCATGTTGGAGTGCAGTGGCGCAATCTCAGCTCACCGCAGTCTCCACCTCCTGGGTTCAAGTGATTCTCCTGCCTCAGCCTCCCTAATAGCTGAGATTACAGGCATGGGCCACCATGCCCGGCTCATTTTGTATTTTTAGTAAAGACGGAATTTCTCCATGTTGGTCAGGCTAGTCTCAAACTCCAGACCTCAGATGACCCACCTGCCTCGGCCTCCCAAAGTGCTGGGATTACAGGGGTGAGCCACCGCGCCCAGCCCACTGTGCTTAATTTTTAAACTCAGAAAGGAAATATTTTTAACAGATCTACTGTGGGCAAGGGCCAATAAGTACAGTGGTGTAATGAATTATCTTCCAAGTACTGGATTGTGAACCCATAAGAGCCTTTGAGAAATTAGCCCAGAAAATAGTATGGCTAAATTGGAGAAGTTGTTTTGGTATTAATTGGCTTCATTTAGAAAGTCTTAAAAGAGAGACTTCCTTAAACATATCTTTCTACTATTAAATACCCTCTCCCCAAAGTCCTTCCTAAGGTTTTCTTAGTGTGATTTTAAGCATGGCTTTATGAAGTACTTGCGACCATCTCTTTGATATATTCACTTGAAGTAGAAAATATAGAATCTCTGCAGTGAATATTGCATTGTTAGGCAATTTAATTTTCCTTATTAGCTCTTAGACAGCTAATCCAAATCAGGAAAAAATGGTAAAGAAGCAAACTCCAAATTCATTAATAGGAAATAAGTCCAGATTTTCCTCCCATTTGAGAATTAGATGCTCAGAAGAACAATACCTTTAGCTATAACTAATCTGGAGGAATCCCATTTGTACCAAAATTCAAAGCAACCTAATAAGAAAGAGGCATTGTGAGAACTGTCCTGCATAAGCTCGAAGGCTCAGTGCCTTGCAGTTTCCAGTGAGTCTCTTGCAATCTGAGTTTTTATCAGCAGTGAACACCTCAGTGCTTTTCACTTCCTGCAATGGAGAGAAAGAAACTATCTACGAAAGACATAAAGTACTAGAGTTGAGATTTACCGATAACAGTCCTAGATTTCCAGAACTCTTCAATGTAGAAATCAAACATTTTGTATATACATGTGTATGTTTTTTTCCTCTTGCTAACCATGATGAACAGAAAGGGGAAGAATGAATAAAAGTTTGCTAAGGAAATGTTTGCCATTGTTGGGAAGGCAGAGAACTCCAGCATTTCTTATTTGGCAGGGCAGTTACATTTTCCTGTGGTTTTGGGTGAACATAGTTTAAAAGGAAGAAGTAAATAAACGATCACTTCTGTCTTTCCTTTCATCTTTTTTTTGTTGTTATTTTCTAGGAAATTATTGTGAAAATTATAACCAAAAAACTGGGAGAGAAATATCATAAGAAAAAGGGTATCGTTAAGGTAAGGACATGCAATTATGAATGGAATTTGTGAAAAAAGCTTGGGTCACTAAGTGAAGCTATTTTGGTATTTCTTGAAAATCAAGTCCTGGTAGCAGAAGTACTCTGTCTAAAATTCTTGATTATCCCATGAAATGGAAGCTGAATTCATGATTGTTGGAGAAATATTTCTTTTTCATCCATAGTTTATACTCAACGTTGACCTGTTTTCTTACTAGGACGGATTGTATGTATGAAGTCCCATCAGCGCCTCTTCAAAACCTCAGCATGCATGCCTTGCTTATCAGTAAAATGTATTTTATTTTTTAATCATAGGCCATATATTAAAAGTAATGGCAAAAACTGCAATTACTTTTACATCAGCCTAATAATTATACTGTCAAGGTCTCACGAGGACTTCTTGTGTTTTGCTGGAGAGACCGCCTTTTGGCTACTCTGGGATTTTATTTATTTTTATTTTTATTTTTATTTTTATTTTTATTTTTGAGACAGAGTCTGGCTCTATTGTCCAGGCTGGAGTGCAGTGGTACGATCTTGGCTCATTGCAACCATCGCCTCCTGGGTTCCAGTGATTCTCCTGCCTCAGCCTCCCAAGTAGCTGGGATTACAGGCACCCGCCACCACTCCTGGCTAACTTTTGTATTTTTAGTAGAGACGGGGTTTCACCAAGTTGGCCGAGCTGGTCTCGAACTCCTGACCTTAGGTGATCCACCTGCCTCAGCCTCCCAAAGTACTGGGATTACAGGCATGAGCCACCGCACCCGGCCTACTCTGATAATTTAAAGTTTGTATCAATATTCTAGGCCTTTTCTCCCTTTTTGCCTTTCCTAAATTTAGTTTTATTTTAGCACCCAGCCTTGTGCATACCTGTTGCCCTTCTTCCACTGTACATTAAGCTAGGCAAAACTACCCCTTTTGTTAGATTTCTTAAAGTCTTATTCCAGGATCACCAATCTGTTATTCTTTCCTGATGAAAACCTTTACTAAGCTTTGAATTGAGTTCTTTATTGAGAACCATAGGCTGGGAAATCATGTATGGAATCTAGAAAATAGTGTCATTTATAGAAAGAGTTACTCCTATCTTTTGATTGATATTTTGTCTTCATTTCACTTACTTTTGTCCTTTTAAATGAGTGTGCACTTATTTCTTCATTATAAAAGTGTTCATTTTACATGACAGGAAGTAATTGACAAATATACAGCTGTTGTAAAGATGATTGATTCTGGAGACAAGCTGAAACTTGACCAGACTCATTTAGAGACAGTAATTCCAGCACCAGGTAAATCTGTTTGCAGACCATTTAATACATATGCCATCAAAATGAGTGGTTCCATTCTTAAGCCACTGTATTTTGACAGTGCTTGATGGTTGTAGTTATTTTTCTGTCTTGGCAACATTAACTGCCAGCGTAACTCATCTCTGTTTGGATTCAAGGGCATCGTAGTTTACTGGCTCCCTGGTGAAGCTGTTTTGTGGTGTCAGTGGATTTTCCTTTCCTGGAATACTTTTTTTTTTTCTTTCTGAAGCAAAACATAGACGTATATGGATAGCATTTGTTATATTAGGCTTATGGTTGCAGGTGGAGAATCTCTCATCTGAAATGCCTGGACTTTCACTCAGAAGTGTTTCCAATTTTGGATTTTGGAATATTTGCGTATACATAATTGGATATCTTGGGGTTGGAACCCATGTCTTAACACAAAATTGATTTATGTTTTATTTTATTTTTATTTATTCATTTTTGAGACACAGTTTCACTCTGTCACCCAGGCTGGAGTGTAGTGGCACGATCTTGACTCACTGCAACCTTCATTTCTCGGGTCAAGCAATTCTCCTGCCTTAGCTTCCCAAGTAGCTGGGACGACAGGCACGCACCACCGCATCCGGCTAATTTTTGTATTTTTAGTAAAGATGGGCCTTCACCATGTTGGCCAGGCTGGTCTCGAACTCCTGATCTCAAGTTATCCACCCACCTCAGCCTCTCAAAGGACTGGAATTGCAGGCGTGAGCCACTGCACCCAGCCTCATTTATGTTTTATATACACCTTACACACATGACCTGAAGGTAATTTTATACAGTATTTTAAGTAATTTTGATTGCATCTTTCTTGACAGTGACCTGTCACTGGAGGTCAGGTGTGGAATTTTCCACTTGTGGCATGATGTCAGCACTAAAAAGATTTTAGATTTTGGAGCTTTTCAAATTTTGAGTTTTCAGATTAGGGATGTTCAACCTGTAATGTATTTGTTTAGCTCTCTGTGATAGTCAAGTGAAAGTCTGTGTTATTTTGCTTTTTTTCCCCTTTAGTTGTCTTTGCCTTCTGGAAACTTACCCGTCCGTATCTGAGTACGAACACTACTTTGACCAGGTTGTTTGCTTCTGACTCAGAATCTTCCTGGGGGGTGTCATTGCCAATGTAGTGATAACATCAGACCATGGAACTTCCAATTGCCATATTCTTTATTCTTTTTTCCTCCTAAAGTAAAATTTTTTTTACAAATTAGAAAAACTTGTGTTAGCTTAATTGTGGTAGAATTGATGTACAATAAATCACACATATGTAAAGTATACAATTTGGTAAGTTTGAACATTGCCTACTTCATAAAACCGTCACTGCAATCAAGATGATGGATAAATCCCCTCATTTCCCTCTCTAATCCCTCCCTCCTACCTTCTGCTCCTATGTCCCCCGTCTTCCTCGGCATCTGCTGACATGCTTTCTGTCACTGTAATTCAGTTCTTATTTTTCTAGAATTTTATATAAATTAAGTTTCTATAAATATAAATGTGTCCTGTTTTCTGGTCTGACTACTTTTACTCAGCGTAATTATTTTGGATTCACCTATGTGGTGGCGTGTATCTGTAGTTCATTCTTTTTTCTTGCTATATGTCATTGTATGGATATGCAGTATTCCCCCCTTATCCTATACCTTCCAAGACCACCAGTGAATGCCTGAAACCATGGATAGTACCAAACACTATATATACTATGTGTTTTTCCTACATATATACCTATAATAAAGTTTAACTTATGAATTAGGCACAGTAAAAGATTGAGAATAATAACTAATAATAAAAGAGTAATTATAATAAATATACTATAATAAAAGTCATGTGAATGTGGTCTCTTTCTCTCAAAATATTTTATTGTACTGTATACACCTATTTTTGGACCGCGCTGACTGAGAGTAACCAAAACCTGGGATAAGGGGGGACTCCTGTACCACTTTGTTTACCCAGTTATCTGTTGATAGACATTTGGCTTATTTACAGCTTTTGGCTGTTAAAACTGCTGTGAACATACATGTACAAAGCTTTGTGTGGATATCTGGTTTCTTTTTTCTTGGGTGAATACATAGAATGGCTCAGTCACATGGTAGGTATAACTTTAAAGTTTTGTAAAACTGCCAAACCATCTTATGAATTTTGCAAAGAGACAAAGTCACCTAAATTTTCTGTGATTACTTCTGGACTCTGAACATTTTCTCCAAGTACCTTATATTCCTTGCAATCTAAAAGTAAAACATCTCAAAAAAAAAAAAAAAAAAGAGAGAACTTCTAAGAAAAAGGGTTTTGTTTTTTGTTATGTTTATTAAGTGTAGTACATTTTTGTACATTGCTATAACAAGTTAGAAGAAAAATGGAGATATTTCTTTGCATTAATTTTTATATTCTTTTCCATCATAGGAAAAAGAATTCTAGTTTTAAATGGAGGCTACAGAGGAAATGAAGGTACCCTTGAATCCATCAATGAGAAGACTTTTTCAGCTACTATCGTCATTGAAACTGTAAGTTTGTTTATACAAAGACAGAAATTTCAAAATGCTTTAAAAATGTGCCATAGTGTTTTTTAATTGGATTGTTCTTTATTTTAGAATTTGAGTTTTTTATTAGCCTTGTATCCTATTTGGAAATCTGTAAGCTTATTTTCTCTAATGACTGTGCCATTGCTAAAGCATTTTATTTTCTGATTACAAAAGAAATGTTACTCACGCTTAAAACCTGAAAAATATATTTTAATTTAATATAAACAAATAATTATAAAAATTAATCATAATCCCCAAGCCCAACAATAAACCTCATTAATATTTTGCTCTGTTCCTTTTCAATCTTGGTGTTTTATGAAAGTGTGTATAATGGGTACCGTTTTATATCCTTTTTTCCCCTCATATTGAATATAAAACTCAATTTGGTATAGTGAAGTTAGTGGGGGAAGTATAGTCATTGTCAAGAGGGAGGGAACCACAGAGGTCACCCACTTTTTTAAATGTCTTCCCTTTTTTCATAAAGGATTTAAGGTAGCAGAGATCAATACAGTAATTTAAAGAACTCTGACATATAAATAAAGTTGGTTATTGACTTAGAACTGATATTTCACTGACAGGTCTGTGACTGAGGCCTGAGATACCTTCAGAAAGAATGTTTCCTTTTAAAACTCTGAACTACTGCACTGCATATCTTTGATGCTAAACAAAAGAATTTTTCATCTCCAGTACAGTCCGTTTTAGTATTTCTGGGGGAGCTTGGGAGTAATAGATCACTAAGAGAGTTTAATGAAGTTCAGACTCTTCAAAACGTTGCACATAATTTGCTAAATTTCCTTTGTTCTCTTGGGGAGTTTATAGGACCCCTAAGCCCCTGGGCCTGTTAGAGGATATGTGTCTAGGAAGGTTTTCTGGAAAAACCATTTAGGTCCTTATTTGAGAGAATTCTCATTTCAGTAAATCAAGCTTTTCTTTTCTTTTTTTCTGTCTGATCCTGACAATGCTAACCTAGAAACTGTTACTTGCTAACTGTTACTCACTAATGTAAACTAAGGGGAAAAAAGGGAAAAAGGACTCTTACTTGGCATTGAGGAATGTGTCAGTCTGACTAAATTAGCAGATTGAGTTTTAACAAAAAACTCTAAGATTTTCTCTGACTCTATCAGCATAAGGCAATAGAAAATCCAGTATTTCCTTGACAACTTGCTTATCCTTCCCTTATTAATTTCTTTTTTTTTTTTTTTTTGCATGGACCATGCATGAAACTTACCTTATTAATTCCATAGCGCTATCAAATGCAGATCCTGTTTCATGTTTTCATCTCAGGGAAACACAAAACAACTGATTACTGTTGAGGCTGTGTTGAGTTCCATCTCGATACCTTTGGTTTGCAGGTTGTGTCCATTCATCAAAAGCTAATTTCTCACCTTCTGCACCGTAGACCCAGTTTCATCTTCTGTACTGAGGTAGAACTTAGGAGCAAATCCACATGAAAAGCCTTTCTGTTTGATTGCAGAGCAACATGTAGTTCTTTTAGAAGAGGGAATCTACCAGCTGGGCATGGTGCCTCAACCCTGTAATTCCAGCACTTTGGGAGGCCAAGGGGGATGGATCACCTGAGGTCAGGAGTTCGAGACCAGCCTGGCCAACATGGAGAAATCCCATCTCCACTAAAAGTGCAAAAATTAGCTGGGCACGGTGGCAAATGCCTGTAGTCCCAGCTCGGGAGATTGAGGCAGGAGAATCGCTTCAACCTGGGAGGCAGAGGTTGCAGTGAGCCGAGATTGTGCCACTTCGGCCTGGGTGACAGAGCGAGACTCCATCTCAAAAAAAAAGGGAATCTATCTCTTAATTTTTTTTCTACTGTTCTTCAGGCTCTCCTCGTTAAAAAAAAAAAACAAAAATATCTCTGTATGTGCATGTGTCGCCACTTGAACTTTGCAAGTAGTTATTTTTATCATTTCTGGCACCTTAAGTTTTCATGTCATTGGTAATGTTTGAAATTTATGCATTTATTAAGCAGATTTTTAACACCTAGTAAATTGTTCCTAAATAGCCTCTGCTTTTTAGCTATTTACTTTATAAACTCAAATGTCTGGCTCCCTTCTTATTCTCCAGATTTGTGGTTCTTATCAGAAAAATGCAGTTGACCATAGACCATTAAACACGATAATGAAAAATGCAACCTAGGTTATACTTTATCTGGGAACTTAATTCCTTTAAATATGATAATTATTTGTTGTTAACGGAAGCAGTAAAAAAATGTTAAAATCTCAGTTCCAGGGTTAGGGTCATCATCATTGTCATCATTATCATCATCATCATCACGTTATATTTTGCAAGGGAAAGGATTAACTGTCAAATTTTATTTTTATTTTATTTTATTTATTTATTTTCAAGACAGAGTCTCACTCTGTCGCCCAGGCTGGAGTGCGATGGCGCGATCTCAGCTCACTGCAACCTCCGCCTCCGGGTTCAAGAAATTCTTCTGCGCCAGCCTCCCGAGTAGCTGGGATTACAGGCGTGTGGTACCACGCCCAGCTAATTTTTATATTTTTAGTAGAGATGGGATTTTACCACGTTGGTCAGGCTGGTCTCAAACTCCTGACCTCAGGTGATCTACCCGCCTCGGCCTCCCAAAGTGCTGGGATTACAGACGTGAGCACTGTGCCTGACCCAACTCTCAAAGTTTAAACAAAAGATTTTTTTTTTTTTTTTTTTTGAGACGGAGTCTCGCTCTATCCCCCTGGCTGGAGTGCAGTGGCACGATCTCGGCTCACTGCAAGCTCCGCCCCCCAGGTTCACGCCATTCTCCTGCCTCAGCCTCCTGTGTAGCTGGGACTACAGGCTCCCACCACTGCGCCCGGCTAATTTTTTGTATTTTTAGTAGAGACGGGGTTTCACCATGTTAGCCAGGATGGTCTGATCTCCTGACCTTGTGATCCGCCCGCCTCGGCCTCCCAAAGTGCTGGGATTACAGGCATGAGCCACCGCGCCCGGCTAAACCAAAGATTAAATAATATTTAGAGTTGAAAATTATTGAGCTCTCACTCATATTAAATTCCAGGTCTAGTCATTTTATATGAAATGACTCATTTATGTTTCCCAGCAACCCAATCATAGAGACATTACTATTATTTCCACTGGGAGATAATGGGGCACAGAGAGGAAACTGAAGGACAGAGAGCTTAAATCAATTGTTGAAAGTGAGATTTGAACTTGGGGAGTGTGGGTCCACAGCCCATATTCTCTGTGTTCCCAGGTTATATCCGCTTTAGTGATAGAAGATATCTTTCATTAATTAAGTTTTCCTCTTTCTCTTTTTGTTCGATATGAAAGAAGAAAATAAATTTAAAGTTGGACTCTTTTTATAATATAGACTAGTGTAACTATGACAGCCAACCTCGACAAACCTGTTTGAGTATCTGTAATGCTTACAAAATGATATTTCCTATAAAAAAAAAGAAAACCCCAAATGGACAATGGCACAAACATGGTAGAAGTTAACGTTTCACTCTAAAAACCCCAAATGGGTTTTTTTGATCAGGGAACTCTTTTCTAAGACGTGATTTGTGACCCCGGGTCCTTCCAGCTAATGGCTCTACTGCCCTCAAGTGGCATCTCCAGTTGCCGTGTCTGTGTGCATTGGGCAGGCAAAAGGAGCTTGGCAGATTGTGTTTTGGGGATAGCACGTTTGGACCATCACTTCTGTTTGCTTCCCTGGGCTTGGAGCTCCATGCATGGCCATAGCTAACCACAAGGGAGCTGGGAAATTAGCTATTTATCCAGGAAGCAGAGGAGATACTGAACAGCCAGCGGGTCTCTGCCACAATATCTATTGATAACGTATGTCAGATGTCACAGAAGAAAATACGGATTTTCTTAATGAGGATGCCATAGATTATTCTTAAAATTCATAGATATATACAAATGTTAACTACCTTAATGATATTTTAGGGATACAGAAAAGGCAAATTTGTATCCATAAGCATGGTGTCATTTTTTTGTCTTTTAGGAATGTGTGTTTTTAACCTTCTTTTAAATTATTTTAATTTGTAGGGCCCTTTAAAAGGACGCAGAGTGGAAGGAATTCAATATGAAGACTTTTCTAAACTCGCCTGAGTTTGAAAATGTGTTAACAATACATTAAAATCTTAAAGCATCAAATTGGTGTTCGCCAGGGCATTATGAGACTCTACTGTGTTAGGGTATTCTTTTGTATTAAAAAAACAGGTTTTTGAAAATATTACTGTATAGTTGTTCAGCTAAACTTTGAGAACAATTTAATTATGTCTCATGAAGTATCAAAACTATGTAATTTTGTCCTTGTTATTTTTGTTTCCTTTGTAATTTACTTGATGAATTTATATCTTCATTAAAGAATGTTATTATAAAGTGTTTTATATATGACAATTTAGAATCATGTAATTGGAGGAAATCCTTCATACACTCTAAATTTATATTTTCAGTAGTAGAGTAGTAAAGTTGAACTACAAGTGTAATTAAATTTTAAACGTAAAACTATAAATACAGAAGCAGCTTTATTGTGGTAATAATTCGTATACCTTACAGACCACTCATTTAAAATATACATACAATTCAGTGGTTTTCAGTATTTTTGCAGAGTTGTGCAACCATCACCACTGTCTGATTTTAAAACACTTTCATGCCCCAAAATGAAGCCCTGTAATAGTCAGTTGCTATTTTTCCCCTCTGGCCTAGCCCTAGGCAGCCACTCATGTACTTTCCGTCTCTATGGATTTCCCTTTCTGGACATTTCTTATAAATGGAATCATATAATACATGATCTTTTATGACTGACTTCTTACACTTAGCATCACGTTTTCAAGGTTTATCCATGTGGTAGCATGTAGGCCTGCTTCATTTGTTTTTGTGGCTGCGTAATATTCCACTGTATGGATGTACCATATTTTGTTTATCCATTCATCAGTTGATAAACATTTGGATTGTTTCTACTTTTTGGCTATTGTGAATAATGCTGCCATGATCATCCATTTACAGGATTTTATGTGAACAGAAGCTTTTGATTCTGCCAAACTCTTCCAGAGCAGCTATACCATTTTACAGTCCCACCAGCAATGTTGAACTCTACAGTTTTATTTGTTTTTAGTTTTTTTACTTTTAGAGACAGGGTCTCACTACGTTACCCAGGCTGCTCTCAAACTCCTGGGCTCAAGTAAGCCTCCTGCCTCAGCCTCCCAAAGTGCTAGGATTGCAAGCGTGAGCCACGGCACCCTGCCTAACTATACAGTTTGAAATAAGTAGGGCAGTATATTATTAGGGAATGCAAAAGACAGGAAACCCACACTTGCCTGTGCCAAAGGAAAAGAAGAGAAGGGATATTTATGGTGCACATGACTGAAAGGAGCAGACGCTAGCTTCCAGAGCAGTGGGACCAGGTGTCAACAGCCTTCCCAGGCTTGCACTCTGTCTCTGGCTTCCTGTGCTGGCTCTCTACATTTACATTCTTGGGCACTCGAGGTTTACATCTTACCCTTCAGCAGCACCAGGAAGAGAGAGATGATCTATCTTTTCTTTTTCTTTTTTTTCTTTTTTTGAGACGCAGTCTCACTCTGTTGCCCAGGCTGGAGTGCAGTGGCACAATCTCGGCTCACTGCAACCCCCACCTCCCAGGTTCAAGCCATTCTCCTGCCTCAGCCTCCTGAGTAGCTGGGACAACAGGCATGTGCCACCACGCCCAGCTAAGTTTTGTAATTTTAGTAGAGACGAGGTTTCACCATGTTGGCCAGGATGGTCTCAATCTCCTGACCTTGTGATCTGCCTGCCTCGGCCTCCCAAAGTGCTGGGATTACAGGCATGAGCCACCGCGCCCGACCTCTTTTTTTTTTTTTTCTTTTTTGAGATAGGGTCTTGCTCTGTCACCCAGCCTGGAGTGCAGTGGCACAATCATGGCTGACTGCAGCCTCGTCCTCCTGGGCTTAGGTCATTAACTCTCCCACCTCAGCCTCCCGAGTAGCTGGGACTACAGGCATGCACTACCATGCCTGGCTAATTTGTTTGATTTTTAGTAGAGACAAGGTCTTGCAATGTTGCCCAGGCTGGTCTCAAACTCTTGAGCTCAAGCAGTCTTCCTGCCTCGGCCTCCTAAAGTGTTGTAATTACAGGTGTGAGTTACCACGCCTTGCCTGAGTTGATCTTCTATAAGAGTTCAAACAAAAAACAGACCACACCAGGATGATCACTTCAAACAGGAGGATGGGAATATGCTGACATTAGACACAGGTACGGTGCCGACCCCTGGGATATCTCTCTTTAATTGAGAGTCAGGGAGGGCTGACAGCTTCTATTCTCAGAAGGTGGGAGAACATATGCTGTTAGCAGAAATGTAAGAGGCAGTAAAGAAATACTAGCAGGATGATGTCAGTAGCTTTACAGAAAATATTCTTCAGGGATGAATTAAGGTTTTTTCAAAGTAACCTGACAGCATAGTATGGAAAGCAACTGGGTTTTGGGTGTGGGCAGTCTTTAGATCAAATTCCGGCAGTTCTGTTCATTAGCTTTGTAATATTAGAATGTTAACGTTCTTGAATTGCGATGTTTTTAATGTATAAATTGTCAAAATGTCTTTCTGCCGGGTTGGTGTGAGACCTACAGAAAATACATATAAAGCATCAGACATGAAGTCCAGCACATAGTAGGTGTTGAATAAATGGCAGTGAGTGGTCATGTCCGGAAATGGAGCCAAGGAGTTCAGCCTGGACTACTAAGAATCTGGCCTGAAGAATTTCAAAAAGGGGAATGGTTCTCCCTGATAACAAACAGTGATGAGTAAAACCTGACAAATTACATATGCCTCCCCCAAATATGTAAGTTTGGAATCAACTCGGTGGTTTTCTTCAGAGAAAAACTGTTTCATGTCTGCCTCCCACATTTAATTCTCCAACATCTTTCTGAAATTATTTCAGAATGAAATGAGGTAGCATACTTGAGGTTAAATTCAATAAAAAATATCTGAAGCATAAAAATACGATTCTAGATGTGACAGTAGTTTTTTCCCTCGAGTTCGTAGAGCCTGATAGTGTTTATGCTAAGCAGAATGACTACAGATAACTAACAACAGGTCTTATGATTAGACTTTTATTTTTGAAGCATCATAAGCTATTTTTCTTTTTTTCGAACATAGACTTTACTTATTAGAGCAGTTTCTGTGGGTTTTGACAAATGTATAATGACATCTATCTGCCACTGTAGCATCACACAGAACCGCTTCACTGCCCTAGAAGTTTCCTGTGTTCTGCCTGTTCCCTGTCTCCCCCCAAATCTCTGCTGGCCACTGATCTTTTTACTGTCTCCCTAGTTTTGTCTCCATCGAAGGTCATATAGTTGGAGCCGTACAGTGTGTAGCTTTTTCAGATTGGCTTCTTTCACCTAGTAGAACATACACATGTCAGGTTCCTCCGTGTTGCTTTGGTTAGGTTTTTGTGGCTCGATAGCACACTTCATTTTGGCACTGAATAATATTCTATTGTCTGAATGCACCACAGTTTATGCACTCACCTACTGAAGGATATCCTGGTTGCTTCCAGGGTTTGGAAATTATGAATAAAGCTGCTACAAACATCTGTATGCAGGTATTTTGTGGATAGACGTTTTCAACTTATCTATGTAAAGACCATGGAGCACAATTGCTGGATCATATGCCAAGAGTCTTCTGAGAAACTACCCAACTGTCTTCCAGGGTGACTGTACCATTTTGTATTCAAACAAGCAATGAGTGAGAGTTCCTGTTGCTCCCCATCTCCACCAGCATTTGATGCCGTCAGTGTTCTGGATTTTGGCCCATCCTAATAGGTGTACAGTGGGATCTTATCGTTGCTTTAATTTGCATTTCTTTGATGAAGTATGATGTGGGGCATCTTTTCATATGCTTATTTGCTGCCTGTATATCTTCTTTGGTGAGATGTCTTTCAGGATTTTTGCCCACTATTTAATTGGGTGACTCATTTTCTTATTGTTGAATTTTAAGAGTTCTTTGTATATTTCAGTTAAGTGTTCTTTATCAACTGTGTCTTTTGCAAATATTTTCTCTCAGTCAGTGGCTTGTCTTCTTATTTTGTTTTAAGCTATTCTTCTTTTAACAACTGACTTGAGGTCATATCAAATTGTTGGTTTTGTTGTCCTGAGAGACCAAACTCTGTTTTCTTCATTAGAATCTCATTAAATCTCATTTGCTGATTTTTCCTTTGTCTTCTGGCATCTACTTCTAACTGCCTCTCAGTTTCAGTTTTTCTGAGATGATTGCATCAAATTCATTCAGCCAGCATTTATGGAGTGCCTTCAGTAGGTAAGCCATTGTACTGGAGACACGAGTGAGAAGCAGATAGAGACCCAAGGTGTGTGTTATAGGAATTGACAATGTTCAATGATAATCAAATGAAATGATAGGCCAGTAAGAGAAACTTGATCATGTATAGCAGCTACTTGAAAATCTGCCCTGACTGCTGGGCCTGAGAAACTGTTCACTGATACCAGTATACACCTCAGTTCCTACTTGGGTAAGATGGAATCACAGGATTAGAATATGATCAGCCTTTTTTTTTTTTTTTTTTTTTTTTTTTGAGACAGACTCTGTCACCCAGCCTAGAATGCAGTGTTGCGATCTTGGCTTACTGCAATCTCCACCTCCTGGGTTTAAGCGATTCTCCTGCCTTAGCCTCCCGAGTAGCTGGGATTACAGGTCCATGCCACGGCACCCGCCTAAGTTTTGTATTTTTAGTAAAGACATGATTTCGCCATGTTGGTCAGGCTGGTGTCGAACTCCTGACCTCAGGTGATCTGCCTGCCTTGGCCTCCCAAAGTGCTGGGATTACAGGAGTGAGCCACCACGCCCAGCCAGAATATGATCAGCCTTGATTATAAGTTAGTCATTAGGTTGACCGCAGTGACCCTAGAAACGTTAATTAGATAACTGAATAATTATGCCACTTAAGGAAGCTATCCTGGAGGGTTTTTTTTTTTTTTTTCTCTTCTGTAGTTATTTTGGGAATAGTTACCAAGAAGTAGACTCAGCCATTGTGAAAAAGTTAAGAAAAATAACACTAAGTTCTTATAGCATACAAGCATCTCTAGTACCTAGATAGCCAGGTAATTTTTACTTTGATTTTACTGGGCCTTTGGAGTCACTTATATCTCCTTCAGTTGGGATAAGATTAAAGAGAAGATGCCACTGGATGGTAGTAAGTGATCCTTTAAAGCTGCAGTTTCTTTTGATAGAACTCTATTACCATATATAAGTATACACCCCAAGATTTTCATTCTCACTTTTAAGACCACTGTGCATACATAAAATACTAAGAAGCTAAACTTAGTATCTGCAGGTAGAAGTTTTAAATTCAAGATTTTAACCGAGTAACAGA